AAGAAGTTCAAATTCAGAAAGATTAAATACTGCCCAGATATATTCCTGATGTGGTGTCCTGCCCACTGCACGCAGCAAGTGAGGGCTCATGGAGAAATGAGGAACACATGATGAAGTAGCTTTATGGTGGGAGAAGGAAAGCTTACTGGTTTTATACTGCCTCCATTACTTGTTCTTTCTTTTTAACAATGGAAATACCAGTGACTAGTTTGAAGTTTCTTTTTGTCTCCTGTTTTACTTTTTATTTGGCCTGGGAAAGGGGTGTACTTTAGTAAAAGAGGTTTTGTTCCAGAAATGTATTCCAAAATTAATATTAAGGTTTTGTCTTCTCCCCTGTAACCCACGATTGTTTCCAACCTATTACAGGTTATATATTCTTTAATAACTCAGACCTTTTCCCCGTGTATATGTTCATTATCAGTTCTCGTTGCATCCCTCTCAGCTTCTTTACCATTTTACGGAACATGAATAAAGCTCCTCACCTGCAATGCAATTTTTCCAGGATGACAGGTGCCCCACCTTTTACCAGGAAAGATCAAGGGCAGATGTGTTGAGTCTTTTGAAAAGGAATTTGCCAGAGGATTGGAAATCTCAAAAATTGGTCAAAATATACCATCATGGGAGATGGAAACAGCAGACTTCCTCAAAGAAGAGTAAATAAAACTCACAGAAATTATATTTGGCCTCTAATCTTTCCTAGCATTACAGGACTGTAATATTGCAATTATGTAATGACATAGTCTTATTCATTATTAATGCATATTAAGGTACATTAAATCACACAGTCTTAAGGATTATGCAATAAAAAGGTCTTAATAAATTTACTTGTACACAACTACTCTGTCTTCTACAGATTATTTTATAGACAATATTGTAAAGTTTACTTTGGCCATTTTGACTTTTAATTGAAGGACCCTACATGTGACATCGACATAAATAGATGGTAAAAGAGAAAGAGAATAGGAGTGTAAATGACTGTTAGGTTTCCATTTGATGCAAAATACTCCAAAAATTGAGGATGCATCCCTGAATTTATATTTTCATTATTTTCTTCCCCAGAAAACAAAAGTACAACTTAAAGAACAAAAACATTACTTACTACAAATGTTTTTAAGAATATACACAGCAAGGATAAAATTTAACAAAGCAATGTGGTAAAAAATGGAACATGCATCATTAACTGAAATAATGAATTTTTTTCTAAATAAAAGAAGTTATCCCAATAAACAAATTCTTGTATACTACCCATTAATTTTTTTTTCAATTATATTTCATTGCTATATAACTTCAACTATTCAAATATTAGTTTTGTAGAGGTCCTTGTTTGTTTCTGATTTTTAAAAAGATGCTTAACTTCAGCCAGCAGATTTCTGGGTTTTGTTTTTTAAGTTCAAAGTTGACCTTTAGAAATATTTCCTTACTGAGTAGGAAGTCAAACACTTAACAGACTCTTCCTACAAAGAGATGGTCAATGTCCCAAGCCTGTCAGTGTTTAAGAGGCATTTGGACAATGCCCTTAATACCAACCTTTAATTTCTGGTGGGCCCTGAAGTGGTCAGGCAGTTAAACTCAATGCTCATTCTAACTATGTAGGCATCTTCCAACTAAAACATTCTATTCTATTCTATTCTATTCTATTCTATTCTATTCTATTCTATTCTATTTTTTAAAGACTACTTTTTTTAGTTGTTGTTGGAACATTTATGTTAATATGATTTTTTTGTAATGACCAAGCATGCTTATTCTTTTAGGTAAGGATGTGAAATTTATATGGGAGCAGTTAATGTCAGTACCAGACATTGGCAAAGAGAAGAACTTCCATTGTGTAGACAAAGGCCCTGCACAGCATGGGATTCATTCAGCATCATGTCTGTCTTCCTTAGCCCTCCTTTTACTGTTTATACACTTGTGGATCTTTTCTTGTTGCCTTTCACATCCCTGAAGAGATTAATCTCCATGCTAGCCTTGACTTCTCTAACCCTGTCCCTGAAAGATCAACCAGATTCCACCTCTTCTGTGTGGAATCCACTTCATGTCTGATTTTAGACAGGAGCTCCTTGCTCATCCATGCAGTCAGCTGCCATCTTTGCTTGGTTTTTCCCCTTCGCTTCTTTCCTGTCATTCACAAAAAATACCAGGAAAGGCCAAGCCATGATGATACAAGGACAGACCACCAAATGTCACTTTTTGAAGTGATTATATAAGAGCATGAATTTCAGATATTCCAGGAACCCTTGAAGATTGCACGTCTAGGCTTTTCCCATGGGTAGAAGATGGGTCCAAAGTGTACAGTAGAGATCTTGACACATGCACTTTGCAGCATATTAAGACAGGGAATCAGGTTCTCCTGTCACAACAATGGGCTGCACTGTCTCAAGCTGACTAAAATGATTTATCATGGAGGGATGGGACCCACTATTTTATATAAATGGTTCACTGTTCTCTTTATCCCATTCACTCAAAGCACACTGAAATTACATCATGTTAATGCTAAAAATTAAAAGGGTCATTTCTGCAAGAAGAGATAATCTTCCTGTTTTTCAGGACTTTACGTGGGGGCTGTGAGCAAGGCCATGAAAAAGTAAGTAAAAATAAATGAAAATTACTCACAACCTATTAATTGCTTTGGCTCTAAGTGAAGAAAAAACTAAACTGGGACAATTTTCTTTGCTGAACTACATGGTGATCCAAGACCCATTTAAAACCACCAATGAAATTATAGAAAGGGGAATAAAAAGAGAGGAAGGAAACTGATGAAAGTTAACAAGGGTGCTGGAAGTTGCAGCTGGCAAGTGCAGCCACCCAAGAGCTGCTGCTGCAGGTGGACAATCTGGCAGAGGGCCGAGATCTGTTAGTGCAGTTTGATCCAAAATGAAAAGTAAAAGGGCTTCTTTTAACTTGCTTGCATTACTTGCATTGTTCTCATCCTCTGTGCGTCTTGCTAAAAATTTTCTCTTCCAGCAGTCGGCATCAGAAGCTCTGGCTGCTACTTTTCAGCTCACCTTCACCATGTGCTTTCCCTATTCCTTCATGAAGTTGCAGGATGAATCTTGTTTTCTCAGGCCAAACAATCCAACGCTGCACTCTGTGTGAGCCCTGAAGAGGGGCCACGTTGTGCGAATGCTCTGTCCTCGTCCTCTTGAGAGCAATGACCCAGAGGACATGGACAAGTTAATCAAGCACACTCCTGCAGGCAGGCAGAAAAATACCTCCAGGAGAACAGATCTTATGGTATCACTCGCAGCTGCTCAGTTCATGGACTAGGATCATGAAAAAAATCAAATCAGGTAATTAGGGCTTCCTAATTACTGTTTACTTCCAGTAAACAGAACCTAAGGCACATGGCTGGACCAGTATCTGCCTACATGGAGGGGAGGTGGGATGTTCCAAAGCCCTACATCCCTCTAGTGCCAAATTTGATATTTCTCTCAGCACTAGCAAAAATAGCTCAACAGTGCATCAGCTTAATACAAACAGTTTGTTTGACCTAGATGTCATTTTTATTCCACAGGACCTCGGCCCTAGGTTTGGTTTCCAAAGTAGTAAAAAGAGAGATTTTGTTTGACTCATTTTTGTTTGACCTCAGAATACGAAAAAGGGGAGGGATAATTACTTGTGGTACAAAGACACATGGTGTAAGGAAAAGGTGAGTGAAAATGTGGTGTTGTTGCTTGAGAATTAGACCATGTTTTAGATGTGGTGTCTTTAAAATCAAAATAATTACAATCCAGAGAGCTTTCCTTTGTTTGTTGTCTTCCTCTATCTGTTCCCTCCTAATAATGAACTACCTTAGGAGCTCTGCAATCCAGTGTATTTTACCTGTGTGAAAAGCAGAAAAGGACAAATTTGCTCCATCACACTCACATGTTTTCTAAGGACAGAAAAGACACATTGTTTGGAAGAAAAATGTGGTTTTCACCCAAAGGGTGACATGTGGGAGTTGCCATGTCCTGAAGAACCAGAGGATTTTGGACCTTTGCCTTTGTTTATCTCACTGATTTTTGCAATGCTGACTGCGGAAGCCATGAGTGATGATATAAGCTTTCCATTAACTATCACCTATGACCTAGTTTAGTATTTGACTTTTGTGTTGCTTGTTACTTTAGTTCCAGGAATTAATGACTCCCTGGAGGAACTTGATCAAAGCAGGGACCAGACAGTTATCAGAATACTGTATGTATGTCAGAGAGTTGTGCTGGGGTTTCCAAGAATTGAGTGGGTATTTTTGGGACATGCAGACTTTGATGATATGACTAAGCTGAAAAATGTCTCATTGGACAAACAGTTATTTTGGGACTGTGAACATTTTAGGTAGGGATCTAAAAGGAATGAAAACAAGCCTAAAAAAAATCATGACTACACTTCTGGGTGTATTCCTAATCATCCATAGGTAGTACCAGGCATGGCAGACAAACTCCTGCTCTTGAGAAATTTGCAGCAAAATGTAGTTGAGAGGTCTCAGGCACCAAGGTGTGTGTGCCCAGGGTACTTCACATGCACCATGACTGACTTGATCCTCTGCCCAAGAGAGCCCCATGAGAAGAAAGTTACTGTACATTTTCTGATGCCTCATCAATGTTTGGCAGTATCTGAAGGGATGGTGCCAAGAAGATGAAGCCAGGCTCTTCCTGGGGTGACAAGCAATTGGATAACAGACAATGGTCATAAACCGATGCACAGAAAATTCTACCTGAATATGAGGAAGAACTTTACTGTGCATGTTACTGCGCACTGGAACAGATGGTTCAGAGAGGATGTTGAGTCTCTCTCAGTAGAGATATTCAAGAACTACCTGAACACAATCCTGTGCCATGTGTTCATCAGGCAGGGATGAGCTTGCCTGAGCAGGGAGGTTGGACCAGATGACCCATCGTAGTCCCTTCAAGTAGTCCCCCTAGAACCTTGCCTGTTCTGTGACTCTGTGATTGATTCTGTGATTCTGTGTGGTCACACCTCTGAACAGCTGCCTCCTTGTGGTTTACATCAGGTGTATGGTCTTTTCTCATTGATACAGCTGCGAGAAGATAAAGCTGGGAAAACAGATACTTGTATTCTGAAGATTTTTTTTTTCACTGTATGAAGAAGCTCCTGCACTTCTGATTTGTTTGTAGCTATACATAAGCCATTTATTATTTCCTGTAGTCATATCCTCCCCTTCCCTCCAGCATCTGGTATAAAGTAACCAAATAGTAAATCCAGAGATTATGATTACTCATTTCTTCACAGTCTTTTGTGTCATTCCAACCATGAGACTCATCTTTCAAGCATATTTGATGATCTTCATGCTAGGCAACCTCATGGCTTCTCAGTCACGATCTTCTGGTAAGTTCAAATTCCCATATATTTATTTAGACATTGATATATCAGCTAGAAATATTTCTGTGTATATTTTACCTCATGTGTTACAATATTCAGTGCATTTTTTCATTAGAAGATTAAGCCAAATAAAAATTAATATCCAACAGAAATCAAAGTGGGCTTCTAAAAAACAAAAGATAACAGATTTCTATGAAAGTTTTCTAACAGAGTAGATTGCAGCCAAATAAAGATTAGCCTTCCATGAACAAAGAAGGATAAAACACATTCAAGGTAAGACTTCTGCACTTAGTACTCTGAAAGAATGGACACTATGGGAAGAGATCAACAATACTTTGCTCCTGAGAAAGCATCAAGATAAAAATACTATTACTCAGTGAAATTATTAAAGACTGGTTGTTTGGCTGCCTAAGAACGTCTCTGTTTTAGGTATTTGTCTGCAATGCCATTACTTATAGCTTGTCAAAGATAAATGCATTATTACAGAAATCAAATATAAAGGTCAACACCTACATTAAAAATCTAATCTTCACTCTAGTTAATTTCCCTCAAGTTCCCTGTCATTTATTTTAAAAGGAAAAATAAATTCTTTGAAGTTATGATCTCGTGCTATCTCATGCTAGTTAGCTCTCTGTTCTGCCATACGTATGGTAAATACAATTTTTTGCAATGCTGCATTACCTGAGTCACCAGGGTTAATTGTCCTTGTGAATCACTGGCTGTCCTGTTAGGGAAGGTAACTCTTCTGCCCGGAGAGGGCAATCACTTATAGCCATGCAGGGCTGATGACATGCCTTTGTGGAAAAAAATTTGAAAATTAGAGCTGTAGTGCCTATTTTATGCAATGTTGTGATGCCTAGAAATGGTCAGTGATCATCTGAAAAAAAACCCAAAGCATTCAATTTGGTGAATTCTAGGAAATATGCTATAAGAATTATACCTCCTGTCAAAATATCTGTAAAAAACTTTTACTTGCTGGCTTTTTCCTCTTCTTGAAAAGATGTTTGCCATTCATTCTCTGCCCTATGCATTCAATTCAGCAGCCTTGTGCACAAATGGCACTGCTGCCTACATTTGTTCCTATCAAAAAAAATAAAACTGTTCTTCATGACCCAGTAGTATTAAGGGTGACTAAAGACTATAGGTTCAGATCTGCGTCTTGTTCTCCAGTAGTTTCTGTACAGCGTACTGCAATATGTGGAAGTTGAACATGTGGTTAGTTATCATGTTTCATCTGTGTAAGGAAATCAAAAGTGTTTTTTCTTCTTTGTTATGCATCAATGAGGTTGCAACTGTTCCAGTACATACAAGTTTCATTCTGTTATCTTTGAAGATTGATATTCTGCCTCTCCTTTTCTTTTTTAAAATTTGTTCCATGACATTTAGCCTTTTTTGCATGTTTCCTTTCAGTAGTATATTTTATTAGTAATAAACTTTGAAAAATAGAAAGGAGTGGAATGTACTTGCTCATATTCTTTCTCATGGTTGTATCTGCATAATTTTTTGCTCAAGGAAATTTCTTTATTTTTTTCCCCTGTAGAACTACTTTCTGCACACACCACAGTAGTATTTTTCATGCTTCTCTGTCCTGAGAAGAATTAGGACAGAGCCCCAACAGGGCCTGTGAATTTCAAGTCTTGTGCAGAACCTTATCAATCCCTGTCTGGTTCTATGGAATGTGTAGGCTTGGATAATACTTTCTGAAGTTCTTGCTCCAGGGAATTGGATGCATGCTGCATACCTCGGTAGACCATCAGGTCATCCTCAGACAGAAAGTTGTACCACTTCTTTTAGTCCAGGGACTGCCTATTCATAACGGTTTTGACCTTTTCATCTATCTAGTATTATAATAGAAAGAATAATTATGAATGTTTTGCTTTGGTGTATTGGATGCCTCCAGGATAACAATTAGAAGAAGGCTTTAAGTATTTGCAATTACTGTGGGAAAGCTGACATATCAGCTGAGAATGATCTATGATGTCATAGCTGAATTCAAAACATTTAATCACAAATAAAGGGATAGAAAGGTTTTCCTCTATTCTCTTTCTCTTTCCACAAACAGAAGAGAAAAATTATTCTGCCTGCAGAAGTATAGGTGTATACTTACTTAAAACCAAATACCTTTTCAGTTAATGGCAAGAGAAACAACATCAAAAGAAAAAATACACTTCAGATGAACTGTATATATCCTCAGAGGATTTGAGGTCAATTTATGATAAACTTTAAAGAAACTCACTTAGGTTGTGCATGCCTTCATGCTGAAATTTAAATTATGCAAAATATACATGTTATAATTTGAAAAGATACATGCAAATATCTACTGTATATTTACAAAAAGTACAACTCATACTACATTAAAAAGGCTTCACAACTCATGAAATTAGGAAGCACAGAAGAAAATTTCTCTGACTAGAGCTCTGAAAACAAAGTCTTTAATGATAAAAGACTGGTAAGATTCTGTCCTACATACCTACTTAATTATGTTGAAACTGATTTCTTATGAATTTTTTTATAACTGGAGCACAGGAAAGAATATGTATATATCACCGGATGGTTTATTATAATTTATTTTCCACTCCAATTAACTTTCTATTTCTTGTTAAAGAATTTAATAATGTATTGCCTTCCTTTTTAGTACAAAAATAACTACAGTTGTTGGAGTTTATACGTTTATTTATGTACTTAAATTGATACAATATATTTATTGATATATTTATGTTGTTAAGCTGATACAATCTGACCAATCCTGCTGAAGTCAACTACTAAGAGTTAGGTCCACGAATAAATCACTGCAGGACTGTAGTCATACTGATATTCTTTGCCATACAAAAAAAAATGTTCATTGCCAAATCCAAGAGTTAGTCTTCACCTCTGAATTGCAGCATCTAATAAGTAGTGCAGAGTTATAATATATTTGAAAAAATAGAGAATAATGAATGTTGTTTAAGGTTCAGAATTAATTGGTGTCTTTTTTTGCCTTCCAACAGGCTGGTCACAACAGACACTTCGTTTTCAGTTAGTGTCCACTTTATATTGTGTGGAAATGCCAGATTCCTCTGGTTTCCTTACTAGGATCCATCTCTAGAGACAGTCATACCTCAACTGACCCACTGAGAGTTTGAAAAGATCAAACTCCCTATTGAAAGAACACTATGGGATTCAGGGCTTTAATGCTGGTGTCCTTTTCACATTGGTATTCAGGGGAAATATGGGAGAAGTGAAGGGGAAAGGATTTCAATAATCGACCTGCTCAGAGATGGAAGGGTGGCTTCTCTGCTGGCAGGTTGTAGGATAAAGAGTCACAGGTTCAAGGACATTCCTGAGCACGGATCACCTATTTGAGAAGCAAAATTAGTCTAAATTTTGTCAAAGAGCATTTTGCTTTCTGCCATTCTGCCCAACTATTGTACACATAGAACAGCATCAGAAATTAGTTTTGAAATAAATTACCCTTGAAAATGTGTAATTAAGAAAGCACACATTCTTCCTGTTCTCATTTTCATAATTGAAGCATGATCATTAGCAGTTCTTTCTCAAAGTGAAAATACAGGCAATCAGACTAATATCCAAAAGTAGAAAGTATATATTTTGTAACTTCTAAAGGGAATGGAAAAGATTCATTATAGAGGCATAAAAATTATCTCAGGACAGTACAATATTCTTCATGCTAACATTTATAATTTTTTTATTATGTCAGCTTTATTTAAGAATAGAGAACATGCAATTATACACGAAATACATATTAAATATACATTAAACTACTTTTACATAAAATCTAAGTCCAAAAAGCAAAGGATTTCAGTTATACAATATACTGCACAGCACAACCATGCTAAAGTAGTCTATAAAAATTAAAATGTGTTAGTGCAATCACAGACCAAGAATCCTCTGTTAGGCACTTTGCCTGCGTCTTTCTTAGTGGCTTTAGTAAAAGACAAGATCATCTCCTAGACCTACAGAAGGGGAGTACAAAGAGCTTGAAGTCTCATGAAAAATGATCTACATAGGTACTTTGTTGCAACAGAGGCAGAAGTGGCTGGATAAACTCTGCTTTATTACACCTTTTAAGGTTTTTCACATCTTGTTTTGCCTCAGCATGTAGACAAGATTTTCTGTTTGAGAAAACAATGCAAAACTAGTCTGCAGGCTTGCAGATAAGAGATGGAGGAGGTAGTTCCAAGTCCCTTTCTTGAAAAAGAGACGAATCTTTTTTCCACAGCTCCATAAGACACATAGCAGAAACATGACAGTACATCTATCCAGCATATCCTGGATTTTTGCCATAACTGTCTCAAATGGTTTTGACAAAATTACATGTTACATACACCTCCACAAAAATGTTATAACTCTAATTAGAGTAGTCATAAAGCACCTAGACACAGATATAGGTATGAAAATAGGCAAAATGCTTACTTGAAAATGTCTCACATTCTGCATGTTGATAACAGAGCAAAAGATAGCAACCATGAGAATAGTTATTCTTGATTCCCATGAAATAATCAGAATGACTGGATATGATGAAAAGCTCATAAGAAATATTTTGAAATTTTAAACCCCTTCAAAAGTTCAGAGGAGCATAAAATGTACACAGCAATCAAAGCTAAAATTCTATATTTTCCTTCTAGACAGGAATATTCCAGCAAATATTTTTACTGGTAGACACTTCGCAGCTGGAGAGAGAAGTCTGAAAATTTTACCTTCAAGTGGTTTCTTGATGCTACGTTTTCTTCCTCTTTAGTCACTCAAGTGAAGACAATTTCACATCTTATAGAATGTAAAATAAATAATTTTTGATATGGAATAGATTTCTAATCCTTCTGCCTTCTTAATATCTCAATTTCTTCAATGTCAGGTTTATCTTCAGTGTCTGATTGTAGAATCCTGTGTCCCTAGCAAGAACAGTAACAAGGAGACGATCGGAGAGGAAATAATACCTGTATGCAGTCAGGGGATATTAAATGATGGTGCTTGTATTTAAGGTGGAATGGGCCATAGATCAAACATGCAATACATCTACTTGTGCTGATCTGCTCTGTGTTCCTGTGGGTCCTGACTGGTTTGCATTTCTGGTGTTAGTTCATTTCCTACAGCAAACATCTGACAGTCTACACAGATGTTCCCTACAGTGTTAGTTCCCAGTTTTCCTTGGTAGATATTTTGGGGAAAGCTGTGCTCAAGGTACAGGCCTCATGCAGTGTGTGAATGTGGCCCAGTCTACCCGTTTTGGTCCCGGGACCATGTGGCCAAGCCTTTCTCTGGTGTCGCTGTGCATGTCCTCATTTCATTCTTTTGAAATTCTAATTTCAACCTCTCTAAGTTGTTTTACTCTATTTCCTTGTATTTTGGATGTTCTTATGTCTTCTTCTTTTATGATCATCTGAGCCTATTGCATACATATCTTAGAAATACTGATTGCCTACTAAAGTCAAGGGATGCTTTTCATATTTACTCCTGAAATCATATTCTCTGTAAATGTCCTGAGCAGGTGGGAAAAATGTCACCAACATCACAATAATCAACTTAAATAATGAGAAGATGCAGATCACATGGGCAGCAAGACAGCTTTTTCCCAATGAGAATGTGTCATTTTTTTACACGTGAGTATTGTCAGTGCCTATTCCTCTCTTGTTAAAGGATTTACTTAGGGAGATGAAATATCCAAGTCCATTTGAGTCTTCTGTGAATTAGAAATGCTTTTAACATTTCTTAATATCCAGCAAGAAACCTGTTTATATTCACAACCCACAGAAGTGAACAAATCAATAAACCTGGTGAGTTATCAGTCACAGCAGACATGATATGAACGATTTGTCTGTTTTCTGCCGTTGTCCCTGTTCTGTGCATTACTAATGTTAGTTACACCATTGAAAGTGTTTTTTCCACATATGTGTATATATTTTCCTTATTAACTGAGATCATTAATAACTAACAGAAGTGTAATATTTTGGTTAAAGACAGCCATAGTGCTTATCTTCTCTCTCTGGGTTGTATATGTGGAAGAACTTTTCACATTACAGTCTTGAAAACAGGACCATGAGAGCATCTGTTTGAGCAAGTCATTCCCATACTAGAAAACAACAGCATAAGAAAAACTTGATTATTTCAGACTGGATCCAAACCCAGCGCTGGATATTAGGTGAAGTTTGCTCATATTTTCCTCAGTGCAGCATTTGAAAAAAAAAAAAAAAAACCAAACCAAAAAAACCAGAAAGAGCATTAAAAATTTACTTAACTTGTGTTAATTTTTAAACTTTCTGTTTATCAATATTATTTCATTTGCAGATTTGATGAAGGCAAGAACAAAGTTTTGAAGCCATGTACCACCTATTTATTGGATCAGGATTATAATTCTGGATGTCTTTTTAAGACAGAAGGACCTACCCTTGCCATTTCTATCAGGAACAGCAATGGAAGTGAAGAGCTTTTTTCTAAAAATCTAAAAGCTGATTTTTACAGTAAGTATGAAAAATCATGACTACTTTGGCAGATTTTACAGTTCTCTAAGTTTGAGAAGAAATCAGTTATATGACATATAAAATGTTATTAGTGTACATATCAAAACAAAACTACAGTTATTTCATGCTGATTTTTGTTCCTTGCTGTAGCTACATAGGCATGTGTGCAGCTGCAGTTAAGTGAGATAACATAGGACAGTCAGACTTTTTCAAAAATACAGTTTCAAAATCCAGATGAAAATACTAAAAATATATATATGTGGGTGTTTTTTATATAGTGCAGGCCTGCTGATCAAGAAAATTAATAATATTTTTTTGTCTTAGTGCTCACTGTGTGATCTTTCTCATACTTTCCACTTTCATTCTTCTGCCATCTTTCCTGCAATGCAAGGCAGGAAGCTGTTTCTTGTCAAAGATGATGTCACAAAACCATCATTGATGCCAATAGAAATTAGCTGAGTGGCTATGGTACAGTCTGGCAGAGTAAAAGGGACATCCTTCTATTAGTAGAGAGATGATCCTGTTTTTATTAAATGTTTCCTGTCCCCAAACACATTTTTAATATCTAGTGTGAGATTAGTTAATAAAAAACTTCTGAAATTTCATATATCTACATCATTCAAAGTAGAGGATTTTTTTTTTTTCTAATAGAAATCACAGAGAGTATATGCAATGGAGAATTATCTGAAAAAATATATATATTCCAAATTTATTAATAATGTTTTAGCAAAACCTGACACAAACCTGTCAAGGCATCAAACTTTGAGAATACTTTTTTATTTCTTAATTTTACCAATATCTGTGAAAGTATGGAAAACTGCAACCTGATCCTCAAATTTTCTCTATTAAACACCTACTGATAAATTTCAAAAAGGTTAGGTAACAAAGGACAAATCAAGGATCAGACTGAAGCCTTTAAATTAGGAAGGAAGAGTTTTCATAATACAAAAAGGCAGCTAGGAGGATTGAGAAAGCAGGTAGCATTCTTTTCACCCCTTTATTTCCTACTGCAGAAGACTTAACCAGCTGCATTGGTCAAACCATGGAGTTGTCTTCAGACCCTGTGGAAACAGTGAGAGGCAGATTCAGTTGTGCCTAGAAATTAACCCAGAGCTTTTGCAGATGCCCTACCATATCCCACATAGCCTCCAGCAGCTGCAAAAGTCTGTCTTAGAGGTTCTACGGTACTGAATTTGTCACTTCCTTTCCCATGAGGAATCTTGTTTCTTTGTCTGGATTGCAGGGAGTGTGAGGAGACTGAAGTCCTTTCCTTAAGTAGCTACAACAGGTTCCTGACATGAGACAGTTACTGCCTTTGAATGTGGTGCCTCAAATGGTGAAAAGTGTCATAGTCTCAAGCTCCATTTTGATGTTTAATAGAGAGGTCAGCTGCAAAAGTAAAACCCCAAGAAGAAAGTCCACCTTCTTCTCTTATTACCCAGTGAAATATTCCAGAGCCAAGGAAAGAAAACAAAATATTTTAACTCTAAAGTGCATTTTAGGACACTACAGCAAAATTTGTTTCTCTTCTTCTCAGTAAAGCCCAGTCCACCAGAAAATGTGACTTTCTTCTGGGAAGAGGACACTGTTACTGTAAGCTGCAATAAACCAAAGAGAAATGCATGGTGCTTGACACTTGAGCTTCAGTACAAAAGCAAGTTTGACAAAGAGTGGCAAGTGAGTTGTACGTCACATTTTTATTCAGCACTAGAAGGAGTTGGAAGTAGCATATCCATAGAATATAAAATACAGTTGTTTCCAAATTTTCTCCCATCCTATATTTTCAAATATATCTGCCAGCAGAAAACATTCAGATTTTTAGAATCCTGCGTTTCTGCCATGCCAGAAGTAATTTGCAAGTTAAAGGCAGATCCCACCCTTAGAGCTGAGGGCAATCTAAAGAAAAGGCATACATTTAGAATAGAGAAGTTTGGAAAGATAGAATCAGAAAACAGATAAAGAAAAGCAGAGAAAAAAAAAAAGGAAAGATTAAAAAAAAGTATAAAAAAAGAAATTACTCAGGATTCTTATTTATTCTAAAATTAGCTATTAAGTATTTCCAAATATTATTTCACTAACTTAAACCTTTCCATTCTCAAATATAACTTGTAAATATTTTGTGGATTGGAGTGCCTTTGTATATTGTAAATATGAAACTATAATGTAGTGCACTATGCAATGATTGTTAGGACCTTCAACTCAATACCATACAACAAGTAATGGATATTAATAATCAAATGTCAATCAAGAAACTGAATTCCTCAAATCGCATAGAAGTTTTAGCATTTGTTTCTGAGGTTTTGCATTGGCCTATCCCTTGTCCTAGTTGTGATCATGACTGAGTGCAGCATTTTGAAGCACTATCTTGAAAACCAGAATTAACAATGATAAACCTTCTTTCACAGTCCAGAACTTCTAAATGCTGCAGTATTGGAGAGCAAGGCTTTGATCCAAGGAAGTGCTACTCTTTCCGGGTCAGACTGAGGAGGCGAGTACCCTCCTGCAACGAAGTTGAATACAGCAGTGACTGGGCAGCTGAAACATTTTGGATGAGCGGCACGTTATTAGGTAACAGCTAATACATATATATATATATATATATATATATATATATATATATATATATATATATATATATAGTCTAAGTGCAAAAGAAGAAAGGGTGACTGCAACAGAAGCCGAGGACATGCAGCAAATGAATGTTGTGCTATTGTTCATCTTGTGTTATCAAAGAAAGTTCACGTGGATGTTTAATTGCACCTTTTAAATTTATCTCTGTCCACTTTGTTCCTGATGGCCCCTGAAGCTACCAATTTATGTCATAATCAGCAAAGTTAAATGTTGTTATTTGTGTTGTGATAGCATCAAGGGTCCCCCAGTGACAGCGATGTAATACATGAGGGCTCTGTGGGTGTGGGTGTTGAAGGAGGGTGCCGGTATATGATATTTGGACATCAAATATGAACTCTAAGAAAATCCCTGATGTCCAGTTCTTGAAGGCAGTTTGTTTTGCAAGCATGTTCACTTGAACTACAGGACCACAGGTCACAGAAGTCTGATGATCAAGGGTACTGGATTGATCAAAACGAGGAGGATGGGGGAAAAGAGACTAAAGGGAAGCATAGCCAGTATCAGCACTGCTTTCCTAACAGACAGTTGCAATTAACTGAGGGTGACTGACATTAATTAGATTGTCAATGTAAACAGTATTCCTACTGCTCATCAAAGCCAAACCCTAGATTTTCTGTAGGAACAAAAAGTCTGTGTACCATATCAACACATTTATATTACCTAAGCACAAACTGCCACCCACTAGATTTTTCAGAATAATGAAGCCCTCAGTTGTTCAGTGTAACAAGACCTGAGTTCTCTAAAATGCAATGGGCTATTATCTCACTTGAAGACAACCTAGCTGGGATGAAATCCTGGACCATAGGTAGGTTATGCACTCATGGCCACAGTGCTGACCTACAGAGAAGACTCTTCCACTATGCAAATCGAAAGCCTGTCCTCAGGTGTGGCTGGCAAATGCCCTTAGGAAATGTGGACAATGTCTTCCTCTGCACCTCTGAGATCAAACAACTTATCAGCCTGACCTGAACCATTTGACCAGAGGCTATCAGCAGGTACCTGCAACGAAGGATGTCACAGAGGAGACAGTCTAAGTGGTTAAGACATTCTATGTGCCCCTGGATCAGAAGGGACATTGACACAGCTCCTTCACTGGGGCAAGCAGTTTTCTTCAGGACTTTATGAGTTATTGACTCCAAATCTATAATCAGATGAAGCTTCAAGAAATTTCATAAACTCTGAAGACCTCACTTAGTGGGGTGGGGTGGGGGGGGGGGGTGTCACAATTTTGCTTGTGGTTTCCTGGCAGCTAAACAGAGCAGGGAGGTGGAACTGGCTGGACAGTTGCTTCTGTATAAATAATCATCCAGTGTTTTGGCATTTTTGTGGAGACCAGAAGGCTAGTAGTAGGAGGCAGAGGTATGAGGTTGCATTACAAAAGCTGCAGGAAGAGTACTGAGAATGCAGAAAAATTCACAAAATCATTAGTTTTATATACTTGCATGTTAAGTGTTGGCCTGACACTAGTTACTTTTTGGGTATCAGTTTCTGTGATTTTCTGGCACTTTGTTTGCTGGGATTGTTTATTTGTTTTTTGTTGGGAGATAAGACATTTGGGCTACATGCAAACTTGCATTTGCAGCTTTAATGATTGTAAGTAGGTTTACGTAATACAGATCTTAGCACAAAGTTGCTTTATCACTGTTATTCCAATGTGATGAAGGTGAATAGAAATACTTGATTCATTCATAATGCAACTGCACTGCCTATAAGCCCCCTCTGTCGTCCTGTACCAGGCCGATTTAGATAAATAGAAGCACAGTTTAATTTTGTTGCAAGGTTTGGGGAAACAGAGATTCTTTTCAGTCTCAATCCAACAGTTAATCTTGTCTTATTTGTCCTTAAAAACATTTCTGGTTTTTTTTTCTTCTTTTTAAAGAAAACTCAACATTTTAGCATGATTAGGAACATTTACAGTTAAAGCAAAAATTTTTTTTTGACATATTCTTTTTGTGATTATTTTTAGATTCATGTGATGATGATATAACTCCTCAGTCAAAAACAGTAATTGTTTTAAGTTGTTTGCTGGCAGTATTCTTAATGATGGTAATCCTCCTGATTCTTCTGTGCAAATGGCAGAGGTAAATATAGTTTTATTGGTTACTACTAAATAGCCATGTCATGAAAATAGACCTATCATTTTGGATGAAGTCTCTTGGATGAAAATTCTTAGCAGGTAAATTAAGTCATTGGTGAAAATGTAGATGCCAGTAGCTTAATCATTGCTTGAGGTATAATACACCCAGGCCTTTACTTTGCCAAACTGGAACAATTCTGGTAAAAGACAAAATTTCAGGATAAAATTCTGTCTCTTCCACTTAATTTCTTCTCTTTTTAAGAAATTTAGTTAAATTCTGAGAAGCCAAATATTCTAGCTACTTCTGAAAGGACATTCTTTTGTTCAACCTTCATCAGTCAATCAAAATGTCTGTTTGCAGTAGCATAAAGTAAGCCTAAGTGCATTTAACTTTAATAAGACTATATAAATATTTAGATTGGCAGTTGAATAATGTTCATGTTTAGAATTTACAATTAAAAAAAACCCCAAACTACCAAACAACAAGCACACCCACAAAGGCCCCAGATTTTGGCTTTTTTGGTGGAAAAAAAAAAGCACCAAAAATGACATATTTTCAGAAATGAAAGTATTTGTGACTCTAATTGCCCTTTTAGTCCAGAAATTGTGTTTTTTCTCCTGCACTTCTATGGTTCATATTTACATTTGTGTTCACTAACTCAGCCAATACAGCTGTTGCTGTACAGATGGTTGCTACACATCTTCCCTGTCTAGGGGAAGGTAACCAGAGAATGTAAGTTCTGACTACTGTATCAAGCAGAATGGCAGTAACTGGTAATTTGTGTAAAGTCTGAATTTTGCTAGACTGGGATTGAGTTGAAAATTTATCAAAAAATTCTCTTAGCCTGATGGTGTTATCAGACTGTTATGACTGCTTTTTGACTTTAGAACACATTTAAAAGAAATCAAGAACAGAGTACTGTCATGTAAAATATATTTGTGGGTACAGAACTGTGCTGAAGGAGATTTTTGTATGAATAACTCTGCTATAACAAAACATTTATTTGTATATTTTTTTCCTTTTTTCAGGGTTCAGGTGTCAATCCTGCCTGCTATACCAGACCCAAAATACCCCTTTGCTGATCTCTTCAATTATCATAATGGAAACTTACAGGTAAAAATCACCTTAGCAGGGCTGTAGATTCCAAGCCATTGAGAAAAATTTGGAAGTAGGTTTTCCATGGGCCCTAATTAAATACAAAAATGTACCTTATGTGGTCTCAAGAGTAAGTAGGAGTTTGTATGCAGTTCTGGAATCCTATTTGCTTTCTGGCCATTCTGTCTTTCTTCTGTCCTGGTATTTTATGTCCTTCTCTACATTGGTTCTATTTCATCTTCTCCATTGCGGCTTATACTGGAAAGATGCCTATATGAAAGGAATTGGTAACTGGTAAATGGTATCTGTACAACCAGGTTTCTTTTAACAGATAACTCATCTCTGCCAATATTAACATTTTAATTTTTCTAGGAATGGCTAGACAAAAATGACCACGTGGTGTTGCAAGCCAAGCTAGAATATGAAGAACCAGAGTCCATCACCGAGGCAGAAAGCCAGCAAGAAGATGGGAAGAACAGTGACAAACAGGGGCCTTTGGAAAAAATCTTCACTTTTCCAGGAGCAGCTGAAAATAATGATAGCAAAGCACCTGAGATTGCCTGCCTGATACCATCATCCAACACTACAGCTCCTTTTGCTGGCTTCCATATTTTAATGAATGATGACATGTATGTGACGTTATAAAAGCTGCAGAAGGTGTTAGGAAATTCCATAAAAATCCTGATGAGTTTGGGAGAGTAACTAGTAGAAAAGGTCATCATGATAAGATTCACATCAAGAAAGACACTGGGCTGTGTTTTTAGATGTGTACTTTCCCAACAGCTATGATCTCCTGGGCAGACTCAAGTGTTTGAAATGAGCTCCTGATAATTTATAGAGTCAGGATTTGTTCTTCTAATTGGGGTTTATCCCTAAGGCCCATTTTCCTTCTATGGACAGGGGAGCACAGGAACTCCCCCATAATATATGTCAGCAGAGCTGAGATTTATTCCTTCTGCTTATGAAGTGTGTAGAGCAGGGCAAATGACACCAATGTTCTTCCCAAATGAAGACAGAAAATAAAGAGGTTTTGCTGTCTCATGTAAAGAGATTTTTGTTGCGTAACTTTGCATTTCATGGCACTCCTTAAAGGCTTTATTGAGAGGAATAAGGCCCATTTCTAAGAAGAGAAGAGCAAGAATGTACAGAATTGAATCATATTTTAGCCTTCTGTGTAGGCAGCTTCTTCCAGAACTGATGGGCTTCAAGGTTTCCTCAGAAGGTCATGTCCTCTGTATCTTACAGTTTTTGAATAGTCAGCATCTTACAGCCTTTATTTTAGAAAACTGAAGTTCATTTTAAGCATTAAAGTACTTATGTTTAACTGAGTTTAATTTAATTCAAACTGGGTTAAGTGCAATCAGCAGCTGTAGACACAAATTAGGACTTCTTGTTCATATTGCATATATTAGTCTCTTGTTTTTCTTTAGCAAATGGTGAGCTTGGTTTTTTAAACAAGTCTAAAAATAAGCTTAGAACAATATTTTTAGGTTTTCTAAATATACCATCATTTAAAGTATGTTTAATTTAAAATTTAGAATGCAAAATACTAAGCAATAAGACTTGAGAAAAAAATCTTGACTATTCTGAGTTTCGCTATATCACTCATGTTAAATATTATTTGAAAGCAAATTTTATAAAAAAATTTAGGTGTCTATCATCTGGGTAAGCAGATACAGTGTGATTATATGCTGAATTAGCTAGTTATTCATCTGCATATCAGTCAGTTAACTGAGCTTTGTCAATCACATGCTTTCATTATGCAAACACTGTAATTTATTGTGCAAATTGGAAACTGCACATATCACAAACTTACAGAGATAAGTAAAATATTTTAATTCAGTGCTTTAAAAACTTCAGTTCCAGATCTTTTTAAGAGTAGTAAATGATAATATGGATCTTCAAGTGTTAAGATCTTTGTCTAGGTGTTCCAGTTTGTTATACAAAAAAAAATACAGACATTTTCTGGCCAGTAAGTGGGAAACTTAATTTGAAGGACAGTTCAGCCACATTCCCCAAGCTTTTTTTTACATCATCACAGATTTGACTGTTCACTGACAAGATCAACATGCTAGCAAAGGATTTCCCATAATCCTGAAAACAATTTTGCCTTGTGTGAAAGTTTGGGGGATGCTTTTTGTACACTGCACACTTCTGGAATTTTTTTTGTGAAAGGTAACCATGAAAAATTTCAATTGCACTGTAAGAAGGCATGGAATTTTAAGCTAATTCTGTAAAATTTGATGAGCAGAAACGATCTCAGCTCAGCTCTTTGTACATGATATAAATTGTCATTATTGCATTAGATCCAAAGAAGTTATAATGAATTACAACAGACAGGAACCTGCTCCAGTAAAAATTCTATTAATAAAGAGGGAAGTAAAGCACAGAAAAAAATGTTTAGTTGCTTCCTCTTCAACCCACATCATACGGTTACCTGCAAGGCTAGCTACTTCAATTAAACCACTTTCTGTTGGGTAAATACTTGACTATCTGGATTCAAAATGTTTTAGTACATTTTTGTGAAATTTTACTCTGAAAAAAAACAGAGGAGAATATCACGCTGAATTGTTGCGTTTAAGCAGCTGTCCTGAAATGTTCTAATCATGTAAGTTTTTAGTATAAACTATATCTCATACTGTGTTTTATAGACAGAAAGGTTTTTCTGTGCATGTATGCAACTACACTTACATTGTATATAACACATTAGAAATAAAACAAATAAAACACCCACACACCTGAAATATTTATTTTTAAAATATTGCCCAAGAAAAAAATAAAACATAGGGAATAATTTGCATTCAAAACAAATCTCTACTCTCCCCTCCCTTCAAAAAAAAAAAAGCCTTCCACTCCTTAGAAACTCTTCCAGAATGTCTACAGAGTGATGAAACACACAATTTAAGGAACAGGAAAAGTCTTCCCCCAGGTACTGATGATGATTCTATCAAACATGGTAGAAGACACATGCCAGATTAACCATGCTCACTGCCAGAGGGTATTGGAAGCTTCCCTAATCACCCCTTTACATCTTCCATTTTCCACCATCTTGCCATCATTTTTTTCTGTCTCCTCTCCTCTCCTCTCCTCTCCTCTCCTCTCCTCTCCTCTCCTCTCCTCTCCTCTCCTCTCCTCTCCTCTCCTCTCCTCTCCTCTCCTCTCCTCTCCTCTCCTCTCCTCTCCTCTCCTCTCCTCTCCTCTCCTCTCCTCTCCTCTCCTCTCCTCTCCTCTCCTCTCCTCTCCTCTCCTCTCCTCTCCTCTCCTCTCCTCTCCTCTCCTCTCCTCTCCTCTCCTCTCCTCTCCTCTCCTCTCCTCTCCTCTCCTCTCCTCTCCTCTCCTCTCCTCTCCCCTCCTCTCCTCTCCTCTCCTCTCCTCTCCTCTCCTCTCCTCTCCTCTCCTCTCCTCTCCTCTCCTCTCCTCTCCTCTCCTCTCCTCTCCTCTCCTCTATGGTGACATATATATGCATTCCATCTCTCAGAGCAGACTTCTACAACTTAGCAAATTGAACAGCCAGACGAGAAAGGGCCTGTTCAGTTCCCAAAGTGAAAAGAAGGTTACACAGTAATGCTCACATCTTCACTCTTATTTATTCAAAACTTGTCATGTTCTTCAAAGGCAAGAGTCCCTCAGATGCTATATTTTATTCCCTCATTGTATCCCAAAGGAAGTGAATGGGTTCATGTGGTAGTCCAGAGTATAATTGAACAGTATTTTCCCAACAATGGAACAAACATAATGTATATTTCTTCCTCATGCAAGTTATGTGCTAACTATAGCAGTACCAAGCTAATTTATATTGATAAATTGAATATCTCTATTTGCTTTGTTTCTCGTGTCTGATTTTCAGTGAGAGGAAGAATAGGAAGAAATAATGCTTTTGCTAAAACAAGTAACAGAACTTACTGAAACTATTCTTCTACACTCCATTTTTTTTGTTTGCCATTGTTTTGTAACAATTGTGCTTTTAAATTCATTTGGAAATAAGCTTTACTCAACTATAAATATATAATTTTGACCAGAGAACTGTTGATTCCTTTGCAATAAACCTAGAATCTTCTTAGAGTGTATTTAAGAAAGCTTTCAAACCCATTCTTACTTCTTTCTTTTATGTAGCTTACATTTTTACTGCTACTTAACTCAGCCACGCAAAACATAGTTTATTTTGCCTTTCCCTTTTTCTGAAAACAATGCAAACTGCAAAGATAAAACTGGAGGGTCATGTCCATTGAAAGCTTGAAAGACTGGATTATATATTATTTTTTTTTTTAATATAAAAGCCACATGGGCCTAAATTTGTCAGAATACCAAGGGCAAGAAGTCAGCATTTTCTGTGGGAAAAGAAGATGTGACCCTAATTGACCTTTTGTCACTGCATATCTAAGTACAGATCTGTCACTGACTAATCTAGTGGCTGAAACACCAGTATTGTGCAACAAGAGGAGAAGTGCAATAATAACTCCTCCTCTTCTGGAAATTTCTTATAACCCTTTAGACTTGAGAGTTGGGTTATTGCCTGCTGCATGGCTTGCCCCTGCCTGGTTTCTTGCTGGAAACTGCTGGCACAAGATTTTGTGGGTGGTGGGAAATAGCAGCTGTACACTCACCCTGAGCAACACCAGGTCCCTGCAGGCATCCACACTTACCATATTGCAAGCTGGAGGGGAGCCCTAAACCTGCAGCTTGAGAAGTTACATCTGTTTGGGGCTCCTCTGTCCTCCTTACTGGGGTGTATCAGGGACAGGGGTGAAGGCAGAGGCAGAATCTATCTTCTCTTCATGACCTGCAGCTCTGAAGGTTGTGCTCTATCATAGGCTGGAGACAAAGGGGCCCTGTGTCCCTTCCCTAGTGAAATTACACAATTTATTTTTCAAGTCAAAATTCCCTGGTTTACCTGCTTTTTGTCTGGGGCTTTGGATTTCCTAGTCTTAGAAGATAAATGTGAAAAAGAAACAATATGCACCATATTGAAATCATCTCCCTATATATATATCTAGGCAGAATAAAAATGTTGTCAGAAGATGGGCCAAATAATATCTTCAAATTTCTGAAGTAATGGGTATTAAAATTTTATTGAATAAAGGAAAAAAACCCATTGTTTTAGGACTATTTTATTACTTTTTCTTTCTCTCTGTTTTCTTTATATCAGTATGCCCCAGTATTGCCCTTTTTTGATAAATGTTTTCCTGTTCTACATTGGTGTATAAAAGTCTTCTGTCAAAAAGTAGCATTTATCACCATGTTCCTGGAAGGTTGTTAAAGTCAACAGCATATTCAGTTTCTGATTTTTGATAAGAAAGCTAGATGGGTTGATAAATTGTAGGCAACTGGCCTTGCAGGGTCTACAGAGAGAATGAGATCTCTGCATTAACTCTCTGTGCTGCTAGGAAATTTTATAAATAAGAGGAAGCATTTCAGGCCAAACCCCTTTAAGGATAAAATATCCCTATAACAGTTAGGAAGTGCCATTGGTATATCTCTTAGCTAAGGAGGAGGTTAAAGTCACTAATAGTAAGATGGAGAGGCACATGTATTACCTTGCTGCTGTATGTGGCACAAACAGCTCTGCTCTGTCCAGTGCTTCTTTTAGTGTGATGAGGTTTATGGAAAAAGCATCAATCCCCATTTTGGTGGGCATCTGCATCCCTGGGCTATGGAGTCACATATTTTCTTACCCCTCTGAGACAGCTAGTTTGGAAAAGGGATTTTTTTTTTTTTTCTGTGAAAGAGCTGAGCTTCCATAGAATGGTGGGAACAGCATAGAAAAATGCACCTTAGTTTTTAATAGGTATATGAGGCTTTTCTTACTAAAAAGAGCAGTGAGTGCCTGACCTACACACCCCATGATTTCTTCAAATGTTGAGCTATAAGGTTAAGCAAGGAGAGGGAGAAGGAGATGGAGGGGGGAAGCTGGGATAAGGTAAAGGGAAAATTTCAATTCTGTATGTATAAGGAGGCCTATTTAAAACTGTGCTTGGTCAACAATAGCAATAAATAATGCCTTCCACCTGAAATTCTGAAAGGAGGGATTTTCAAGTATTCTATCTACCTCAATTTACATGCATTCATAGAGGCAGTAAGAAACCCTTTATATCTCTCTGATATCCAAGTCCTCTATGATATCTCTCTTATATCCAAGCCTATAGTACAGTCCAGCACAACAGAACCAGGCATACTGATCTGCCAGGCAAACAAGCACATTTCCAATGCATCAGATTATCAAAGACCAGAAGAAAGTAATCAATACAGACAAAAATTCACCTCTACTTTACAGTAATTCTTGCCATTAGCAATGGTGTTACAGTTAGAAAATTGATGTGTTTTGGGATTTCTCTCTTTAGGTAGCTCAGCTTTCATTTCCATATGAAAGGGTCTTCATCCAGAGGTTTATGAAGATGATTCAGGCTTACTGTGAGCCTACTAATACCTGCTCCACTTTTGATCATGTTACCTTTGTGTATTGAGTTTGCCTGGGGTTTTTACATAATAAACAAGGAGAGAATGCCCCAAACAGCCCAGCTTCAGGTTTGTGTATGAATCAATAGAAAAGCAGAATACAGAAAAACAGATGTTTTTGTTTCCTACCATAATCTGCAGATGTTGTTCATAAAGAAACTAAAGCTGAGTTGGGGAGTTACTTGTGCAATTTTCCCCCCATTCATTCCAAAATATTTGAACTTCAGTACAAAGAAAGGCAGTAAACAAAGGGTCTAGCAGATGGCTGATACTGGAGTTATCGCTCATGGTATCTCAGTGCGTGCAAATGTCTCCTGTCTCTTGCATGCTATTTTGCAGAAATAACAGGTGTTAGATCACAATCAACAGCACAAAGAATTTAAACACACAGGTATGGGAGAAAATCTCCACATCAGAAAAGACTCAGGGGTTACCATCCCCCGGACTAAAATAGGTAGCACAAGTATGCTATAGATTAAAAACAAGAGGTAGAAGAGGCAGTCAGAAAAGAGTCTGTATTTCCTCTCAATTTTGGTTACAAAAGAACTGTGAAGTTATTCTATATCTTGGGTTGAAATTAATTAAATCAGATTTATTTTCAACGTTAGCACCCCAGCTGAGGTTCTCCTTCTGCTGCCATGGCACTCAGTGGGAGGACTGTCCTCAGCAGTGAACTCAAGGGAAGGAGGATAAAGTGGGAGCATTTAAATGCCATAGCATGGACAAAGCTTGGATAATTGAATTATGAGTTTTAATAGTACAGTTTTTCCTCAAATGTTATATATCAGCCTTTTATTCTGGTAGCTTTTGGGTTGTTGTGAATAGGTGTTTAAAGAGACCATGCAAAATATTTTGCAAAACACTTTAAATCTACTTCACTATTAATGGGCTCGGTTGTATGTCAAGGAGGAATTTAGGATCATTTCCCCATATTCTGCTTGGCAGTCGGCAGAATCTGATATCTGTTAAATGCAGAAAGAAAATCTAGTTGATTTTTATTCCCTGGCAAGATATTTTTGGTTCTTTGAAGCTGAGGAACCAAACTAGTTGAAAGACAGAGAACCTAAGTAATGTTTTGTTACAGTGTTGATTGTCCAGAAACAGAGAAATTCAGAGAAAAATTATATTACTCCTTTAAGAAAGAGCAATTCTACTAGAAGGACACTTTTGAAAGTCATGACTAGATGTCTTGATTATATAAAGTGGGTTTTTTTGTGATTTTGTACTTGGTTAACTGCACCAAATGACTCAGAAAACTTCTAAACAGTGCACTATATACATCCTCCATTATCTGTTATAATCCAAATTTTGTTCCAGATATTGTTTGAGAATGTTGTGATTTAACCCCAGACAGCAACTGAGCACCATGCAGCCATTCAGTAACACCTACACCCCACACACCCTAGTGGAGTGGGGAGCAGAATACAAAAAAAGAGT